GGCCCCATGAGACCTTTCTTCTTGTCAGCCACAGCTGCTGCTCGGGCCCCGTCCTTCTGTTCTTCCAGCAGGTCCTCCTGCGCCCACCGTTGGGAGTAGTGCTTCCCCAGGGGTGGGATCTGTGGGGAGATGCCACCCGGCCCAAAAGGGGTAAACACTGGCAAGCCATGCCCGGGGTGAGTGGGGGCTCTCTGTGCACTTGGGACACTGCCAATAGGCTCATCATTCATTCCTTCACTTATCTGTCTCCCAAGGACCTACCCCAGGGCTAAGGCCCGTGCCTTGCATAGGTGGGAAGAAACAAAGGAGATAAAAATCTCTATGCTCACAGTCCAGTAAGGGAGACAGGTACATAACCAACTAAGACACACATGGGAGCCAGTATGGAACAATTTCCAAGATCTAGGTGCACAATGGTGTATGTACCTGGATCATCTCAGGTCATAGCTGTTGTCCCTAGAGAGACCTAAGAGCCTTAGTGTCAGGAGAGGAAAATTCTCATTTGTATTACCTCAACTTACTACTGCTTATATGGATTAACTTTTCAAATAATTTTTCAAATAATTTTTTTAAAAATTCAAAGAACTGAAGTGCTAGAGGTAGGTCAAGGTGTTGTGGACACGAAAAAGAAACTTTCTGCGGGGAGTCTGCAAAAGATGTTCTGGTGGAGATAACAAGGGATCAGTGATTTGAAGGACAAATCAGTTTGCTAAGGGAAGGGAAAAAGAGCATGTGCAGAGGCCCAGAGACCAGCAAAGAGCCTGGGTGGGCCTGGGGTGAGGGCAAGGTGCCTGGCAGGGCTGGTAAATGCAGCAGTGACGAGGGGGCATGGCTAAGGAAACTGGAGAGGGGCAGTAGGGCTGTGTCACCAAGGACCGAGATGTTTGGACTCCATCTTGTGTGGGAGTCAGGGGAGGCCTGGGAGCAGGCCTGTGTCACATCCGATCACAACAGCTGACCTATAGGAGAGTGCTTCCGGATGATTTTCTGTATTTTCTACGTTTTCTTTAATGGAACCAGTTTTATTTACGTCGTAAGAATACTTTAATATATTAAAAAAAGAAAACAAAAAGTCTGTCTGAAGGCAGGAAAGTATTAAGAGACCATTTGGGTGAAAGCTAATGAAGGCTTGAATCAAAGCAGAGGTGACAGAGATGTTGGGACAAAGGACGGTGTCACTGAAGTAGATGCCTCAGGATGTATGTGATCATTTGGATGGGGTAGAGAGGAGGCAATGCAAGAGAGCTGAGAATCAGAGCCTGGGTGTCTGGGTGGGTTGACTAGACTAGGGGCAGAGTAGGGCAGAGTAAGGGAAGGATGATGATATATGACTTTGGGATCTTTGATTTGGAGGCACCTCTGAGATCTCCTGTCCACCACCCTGTCTACCAAGGCCCAGGGTTTCTACCTTGTAATGTTCAGCCTCGTCCTCTGGGGGTTTCAGTAGTTCTTCTAGTGTGCGTACCTCCTCACTGGTGATATCAGCACAGTAGGGCTCTACAGAAGCCCAGAACCTGCAAGGAGAAGCAGATCCTGAATGGGCACCTCCTGCCCCACCATCCTCAGCTCCAGGCCCCTCCACAGCCTCTACTGCCTGAATCCCAAGGCCCCTCTATATTTTCTGGCCCAGAACCTGTTGGGGGCATCATTCTTGGGGATCCGTGGCACGTCAATTGGGTCATCAGTGAATTCATATTCCTGGATCTTGGGCTGAAGGTTTTTGGATTTGGGCCGGCCAGGGCCAGGGCCTGGCCCATGTCCCGCCTTCCCTTCCAGTTTCTGCTTCTTCGGCTTTCCATGTTTTGGGGGAGCTCCAAGCTCATGGTCTCGACCCAGCTTCAGGAATCGTCGATCACCTTTCTTATCCTGCCAGTCAGTGAGGATCTGAAATTTGCAGAGACTATCACTGAGGGGGAGAAGAGAAGTCATAGGACAAGTTTTTCTCCTAGTGGAGAATTAGGAGCTAGAACTTGAGAAGGCTCCAAAGTCTTATTCATCCATCTCCTTTTTATTTAGTAAACTCCTACTCATCCTTCAAAACTCAGTTCCTTTATTGTGCCTACCTCACAGGACTTTATTCACATACTTCTCATCATTCCATTTGTCTGTATTGATTCACCTCTGTATCACTCAAGCCAGTCACACGGTGTTTAGGTCAAACAAATGATCATGCCCCAGTGCATATGAGCACTGGAATATGCTGCTGGTAACTTTTTGGTGAATGCAAACAAGCCTCCCAGCAGACCTTTGCTTCAAATGTCACCACAACTGGGAAGCCTTCTCCGCATCAGTTACCCAGCTTCTTACATGCTAAAATACAACTGAATTTGCCACAGCCTTGCTCAAAAAGCTTCAGTGCATTCCCAGGGACCACAGGTTAACTATTCATCCTTTGAGGTCCAATTAAAATGGCATCTTGGTCCTCCCTGGGTCTCTGACACTTTGTACCTCCACTGCAGGCCTAAATGTGTTGTTTGATCATACTGGAACGAACAGCATACCTTGTCTTTTCAACTAGATTATAAGCTACTGGAGATCAGAAAATTGATCTTAACTATGTCTGTTCCCCAGGATTTGGCACAGCATCTGACACACAGGGCTCAGGGGATGTTTACATAGTGAAGAGTACCAATAATTAACATCTGAAATACTTAATGTTAGATATCAGCCCGAGGCTTTGCAAAAAAAAACCCTCTCTTTTAATCCTCACAAAAGCTCAAGGGTATCCCAGTTTGCAGATAGGGAACTGATGCAAAAGGAGGCAACTTTCCCAAAGTCATATAGCTAGGAAACAGCAACACTAAGCAAGTGCTTAGGCCAGGATTCAAATCCAGTTCTTCTCAATCCAGTTCCCCTGGTACTTCTAACCATAACACAACATCACCTGGTATTTGTCTGACCTCTCCCTCCCTTTATGTGGCAAACTCCCTGAAGGTCAGAAGTGTCCTAATTACCTCTTTCTAATGACTAGCACAGGACCCAGAACATAATGGGGGTTGGGGTCAATAAATGCTTAGTAAATTGGAAATCTTGCAATTTGTAAGGATCATGCACATTCTTGTATATTTCATGTGTCACATGAGCCCAGCTTGGGTCTCTCCTTAGCCCTCTAAACTCCTGTACCCCAGGCCTCTGCAGGTGGGGCTAACTCAATGACCCATCCCATAACTCGTCACAGTCCACCCCTGGTGATATCCTCTCTGTAGGGTATCACCTGGGTTTCAGCCTCGAGAACCCGCAGGCGCCGGCTGGCAGAGGAAAGCAGGGTCTCAAGCTCCAGCTGCAGAGTGTCCAGCTCCTCGATGCCGATGCCATCATCCTCAGAGCGGGCTAGCACGGCTGTGTAGCGTGGACAGACCTTCAGGTGGTCCACAGACTTGAAGTCATGGAACTGCAAGGGGCAGTCCTTGAGTTCACTCATGGCCCAGGATACGGGACCCTGTGGAACTGGAGAGGAGAGAGCCATTGATAGGAGATAAACTGGCACAAGAAAAGTCCAAGAGCTCCCTTCATCCAGGGACAGACTCAAGGAAAAAGCCCGGCTTCAGTACCTTATTGACAAGGTTGATGGCACTGCTCCTACCCACAGAGCACTTACTGTACATCAAGCTAGGTACAGACATTTTACTGGCTTCTCACTGAATTCCTCACCCAACCCCATGAGAAGGGACAATGGTGATCTACATTTTACAGTTAAGGAAACTCAGACTCTGTAAGGGTAGGTACATGCCCAAGGTTACCAAGATGTAGTTGTGAGTCTGTGCCACTAATTTCCGTGATATACCAAGCCCTACTTCCTGATGCTTTTCCGTTCTACTCCTTGAGTTCTGCAGAGCCCCTGAGCTCCAAACATCCCATTCTTACAATGTTAATGTTCTCTGTGCCTCTCAGCTTCAACTTGTCTCACCCCCTCCCATCTTTGTCCCTTCTCTTTGCCCCTGACAGTGGTTAAGAATGTGGGCTGGTAAGCCAGACATACCTGGGTTCAAGCCCAGCCTTTACCATTCTCTACTTATGTAGTTCTGAACATACTATTTAACCTTCCTGAGTCTCGGTTTTTCCATCTACAAAATGGGGACAAAACAAATCTGAGTCTGTTTCCCCATAAGAAGTCTGAATCTGTAAAATGGGGATCACAACAGTACCTACCTCCCCGGGATGTTCTGAGGATTAAAAGAGGATGCTCGTCAAGAGCCCAGTTCAGTACCTGGCACAGAAGTGCGCCTGTGTAATGGCTGGCCCCTCCCGTGGGTCGCCCCAGTGACTTGCCTTCAGGGTCCCCGTCCTCTAGGGACCCCCTAACGCGGCCCCCGCCCCCTCTACCTCCTCACTGCAGCCTCCTGCTGCCTCCTACGGCCCCCAGGCCACGGGAGGGGGCGGGGAGTTCCGGTCGGTGGGAGCAACCGCCCCGGAACTGGCTAGGGGCGGGCCCCCCGCAGAGGACGCGGGGGTGGGAGACGCGAGGGAGAGCCCAATATGGCTTGCAGGGAAGGGTTTACAGGCCGCGAGCGAACCCACTGCAGGTGGGCGGGGGGGAAGGGTATGCCTCAGGCCTACTCTGGGGAACAGCCCGAGGCTGGGGGCGGGGCTCGATAGCCGAGTTCTCAGCCGGGCGGTTAGTCCCGCCGAGCCCCAGGGGCCGCAAGTAGGAGGGGCTCAGAAAAAGGATAGCGGCGCAGAACCGGAAGGAACGAAGGACTCCTCCGCCTCGGCTTGTCCTAATATGGTGCCCAACCTGAGGCCGGGCTGCACCATTGCCTGACTATGGGGAAAGACAGTGGCAAAGACAAGAAGGCCAAAGTCACAGGCGAGAGCTGCATCGATAACGGGTTAAGCTTGAGTATCGATTTGAGACTTCAGGAGTCTAAAAATGTCAAGACAGCCCTAGCGCGGAAACTTCCAAAGGACCAAGTGTTCCTAAGCACCCCCTTCTACGCTCGGATCATAGATGGTACCGTCCGGAAGTCCGGGCGGAGACTGAGGCTGCGCTTCTCGCGAAAGGGCAGGCGTCGAGGGGCTGGCCACTTCCGCACTTCCGCTTTCCGGCCCAGCCAGCGCCCGCGATGGTGAGAGAGCCGGGCCCCGGTCCAGGGACCCCCGCTGTTTTGCCTCAGAGCTGTGGGTCTGGGGGAGATGCGGCTTTGCAGCGGAGAGGCCCGGGGCTGAGGGATGCTGCTGGGTGTGGGGGCACGAGGTGGCTGGGAGAGAGAGGGCGGGGCGGGAGGCGAAGTGAGGAAGGGGCGAGCGGGGTACGCCCTCTTAAGCAGGCCTTGCAAGCTTCATGGTTTGGCTTTCGATCCAGGTGGGGAATTGTGAGGCATAGGGGACGCCGGAAGTGGGACCTCCTAGCCTGGTGTTAGCGCCTTGAAGGCACTTAGTAGGCCTCATTGCCCGTAGTAGGGTCGCTGAGGCACATAGTAAGGTCTCCTCACCCAGGGAAGAACTTCCCTAAGTACACTTGTCTTGTCCTCTCCTGCCCGCTTGACCCGTTTTCCAGAGGAAGCGTCTACACTTCCTTATCCCACTCTTCTCCTTACTCCCTGCCTTGCTTCTACGCCACAGAAGTATTTCTTTTATGCTCCCACCACCCAGACCTCTTCCTGGTCAGAATTAAACCGCGTTAACCTTAACCCTAGTACGTGAGCTCTGATACTACTGATCCCTCCTTTCTTGGAAATCCTCCCATTAGATAAATGTGGGTGTTCCCGGGAGTTGAGGCTTGGGCTCACCACCTTCCTCTACATTTTTCCTAGTGGTACCTGTCTAGTCCCGGCTTTGATGAGCTTGTGTGTTTTGGTGGCTCTTGAATCTGTCTTCCTAGTTCTCTTTTAAGGTTTGCCTGGATATCTTGAAGAGACCTTCAGATTCGGCCTTCAGATCAAAAATAATTTTCTCTCCTAAACTTGCTTTTCTTTTTATGTTGCTTATTCTGGCTTTGTGTCTTCGTACCTCTGCTAGAAGCCTGGATTTTCTATTTTTCTAATTGAGGCTATCCCACTTGGATTTTTTAAAAGTCAACTTTATTGAGGTATTACATGAGAATGCATTTTATCTGTGAAAGGGTAGGTGTCATGGGGCTTGTCATCTAAAAATCACCCTTTTTTTAAAGTTTGTCATCTATGGATTTTGACAAATACAATAGTGTAACCACTACTACAACCAAGGTAACAATGTTTCCTCAGAAATTTCCCTCAAGTCCCTCTGCTATCAGTCCTGTCTTCTCCCCATTCCAGGCAACTACTGATTTTTTTCTCCTATAGTTTTGCCTTTTCAATATTGTCATATAAATGGAATTCTTCAGGATGTAGGCCTTTTGTTGTGGCTTTTTAAAAAATTAAGTTTATTTATTTTTGTATTTTCTACACCCATCATGGGGCTCAAACCCACGACCCTGAGATCAAGGGTCACAGGCTCTTCAGACTGCACTAGCCAGTCGTCCCAATGTGGCTTCATAATGCATTTGAGATTCATCTGTGCTGCATGTATCACTAGTTATTCTTTTTTATTCCTGAATAGTATTTCATCGTTATGGGTGAACCACAGTTTGTTCGGAGGTGTTTTTTGATTCCATTATTCTATCTTATGACAGTCCAGTTCTTGTGATACCCTCTGCTTGTCCTTTCCACTGCCCCAGGCTCTCATCAGCGTTCCTTGAATAACCCTCTCTGCCTTTTGTCTCACTTACCTCCAGTCCATTCTCTACAGAGCCACCGTGCAACTGGTGAAGTCATATAACTTCCTCCTCAGAAAGTCCCAACAGTTCCTTACTGCCTTAAAAGAAAAGCTAAAATTAACAGCTTGGCATTTGAGATTACCCATGAATCTTTAGGCCACCATTGCAGCCTCATCTACTGAATCTAAAGTGCTTTCTGTATACAGCAGCACTTTACTCATCGCTACTTACGGAATTCTTAATGTCTTTTTTGTGGTGTTCTAACCTTGCTTGTGGTATTCTACATGATGTTTTATAGAAAAGGAGTAAGACATTGCATATGTTAGGTATTGAGCTAGGTGCAGGGTATGTAGATTTGAATAAAAGACATGGTCTATTGACCACGAAGCTTACAGTCTAGTGAAGAATTCACTTTACTAAAGAAATATGAAGGATGTGTCATGTAAATTATAATAAATGCTATGAAGGGGGAAGTCAAGAATGGCCTGAGGAAGGAAGGGGTTCCCTGAATAAGCCAAGGTCTGAGGGATGACTTGGGTCAAGAGAGGGAAGAAAACCCTGTAGATAGATGGATCAGCATGTGTAAAGCCCTGAGGTGAGAAAGAACTTAGTTAATACAAGGAACTGAAGATACGCCAGTGTAGGTAGAAGCTGATCCCTCTACTGGGAATGTCCTTAGTTTACTTTTTATTATAAAATCCTCCTAATCCTATTTTCATCTTTATGTCCAAACCGGTCTCTTCTGGAAATCAGATTCTGTTCCATTTCATTCTCCTTTATGTCATAGTTATTTTTTGTCTTTTCTACCTAGTTGAGCTATTTAAAGGTAGAGATGGTCTTTAAAATCTTAGCATTTAGGGGCGCCTGGGTGGCTCATTTGGTTAAATGGCTGCCTTCAGCTCAGGTCATGATCCCAGGGTCCTGGGCTCGAGCCCCGCATCGGGCTCCTTGCTCAGCAGAGAGCCTGCTTCTCCCTCTCCCTCTGCCTGCCTCTCTGCCTACTTGTGCTCTCTATCTCTGTCAAATAAATAAATAAATAAAATCTTTAAAAAAAAATAAAAATCTTAGCATTTAGATCAGTGCCTAATACACAGTAGACTTATCCATTCTTGACTCAAAAGACAGATTTGAGAACAGTCATTGTCACCTGTATGCCTTTAGACCAGAATTTTTCAACCTCAGTGCTATTTGGGGTTGAATAATTCTTTTCATCTTTTTTTTTTTTTTTTTGGATTTATTTTACAAAGAGAGCACGTGCAAATGGGGGAGGGGCAGAGGAAGAGGGTTAGAATCAAGCAGACTCCACACTGAGCATGCAGCCCATTTCGGGGCTAGATCCCACAACTCTTGAGATCATGACCCAATCCAAAACCAAGAGTCAGACACTTAACTGACTGAGCCACCCAGACACCCCGAATAATTATTTTTTGTGCATTTTAGGATGTTTAGCAGTATGCTGGGGCTCTACTTGATGCCAGTAGCACTTCCACCCCACCCCAAGTCCTGTCAAAAATGTCCCTACGTTGCAGAATGTCCCCTGGCAAGAAAAATGGTCCCCTGTTGAGAACCACTGTTCTAGACTTAGAATGAAAGGCACCTTGAAGGCCTAGTCTGTTTTGTTCACTGTGGTATCTGAGAGCCAGGTACTGTCAGTACTGCCTGGCTCCCATGTAGCTGGAGTAGGGGGCCAATGGGTTTGCTAAGACAGATTCTGACTCTCCCTTGGGTTTTTTGTCCTACAGACTGCCACTCTCCGCCCCTACCTGAGTGCCGTGCGGGCCACACTGCAGGCTGCCCTCTGCCTGGAGAATTTCTCCTCCCAGGTTGTGGAACGACACAACAAGCCGGAAGTAGAAGTCAGGTAGGGAAGAGAAAGGTCAGGGTGGGGATGATGGGTTCAGCCCCAGAGATGGCAGTTGTCTGGAGGCTGCCACAAATTTCCATCCTGGAGTTGTCAAGACAACTTATAGTTCATATATTTTGTCTTGTTGCCCGATGAGCAATGGTTCCCAATTTGCAATTCAGAAAATAGGGTCAGTGGGTTGGCAGGACAAAACACAGGGGAGCAGCTCCTCTGGAGCCAAGATTACTTGACCCAAAGTGTGACTTCTCAGAGTGGGGCTATTTGTTAAGTATCTCCTGTGTCATTATTGAACCCAGTTTAAGGAGAGAGTGTAGAATTTGTTAGATGCCATCTCCGTCGTTTTGTAATTTGAAGATCAAAGAATGTTTTTCCCCCCTGCCAACCTGGACTCTCTCATTCCTTACTCCAAATTTTCCATATTTTGGGTTATTTTTTCTTATCTAGTTTATGTTTTGTTAAATTAATGCTGTTCTCCTTTAAAGTTTAATCTGAGACATGTATAACTGAGATAAACAGTGTTACCACACCATGGTGGAATGATTTGAATTTTAAAATACTGACAAGATTTTAGCATGTTTCATGTTGCTCCACTTAACATACATGATTTCCACTGGGCGTTTTAATTACCATTACAAATACCTAGAGATTCAGAGGCATCAAAATGGGAGCTGAGCTGAGAGGGGTCTTAATGCTGAATAAGTGAATCATTCTGGATTGATAATTAAAGGAGGCCAAACTCTGTTTGATTTTAGCTTGTCCTTATCCTTAAGGCAGCCTCTCTCCTCGTTCCCTACGTGGTGTATGGGTTTGCCTGTAGTTATTAAAATAAGAGCTGTCATTTGTAAAGCTCTACCATGTGCCAGACACTCTATTAGACAATTGACCCTTTTTGATCTCTCTCAATCCTTGCCAGTGAAATAGGAATCAGTCATTTTACAGATGAGGAAATTGAGATTCCAGCAGGGTAACTTGTCCAAGGAAAGTAACAGAGGAGGCTGGATTTCAAAACCTTATCACCCTGACTCCAGAGCCTTGCTCCTTCTGTTGGAGAACACACTCGCTGGCCCCCATCTTGGAGCACCCCTACTTGTGAGTCTCCTATTCCTTGGACTCTGTGGTCTCAGATAGAGATTCCAGGGCCTGCTGTGGGGTCTCCTTGAGCATTCTGTTCTTCTATAGTACAGAGGCCTCTCTGACATTTTGTTTTCAGGAGTAGCAAAGAGCTCCTGTTACAACCTGTGACCATCAGCAGGAATGAGAAGGAAAAGGTTCTGATTGAGGGCTCCATCAACTCTGTCCGGGTCAGCATTGCTGTGAAACAGGTGAGCTCACCACTGAGCCCCTGCCTCCTCAGGAGGCTAGGGATCCCCATCTGAGAGATCGTCATGCCAGATTCAAGGTGCAAGGAAACCCAGGCTCTATTTCCTTGACTGTACCCAGGGAATGATTTGCCAGATTCAGCAGGTCAGTAGAGTAGACTATCTTCTAGCCCTTGCTCTAGATTAGAAGTCAGGAAAAGTAGCAGCCAAGGCCATGGCCATTTTAGTGTCAGGTCAAAGAATCATTTGTAAGTGATATAAGTCCAGTTCAGAAAAATAGTACCAGTACCAATTTGATAACCATAAACTTTGAAAAAGAGATTTAGGGTAAAAAACAAAGTGTAATTTCTTAACGTTATTTTAGGTGATGTTGATATTCCCACCACTCTTTTTTTTTTTTTCCCAAGATTTTATTTATTTATTTGACAGAGACACAATGAGAGAGGGAACACAAGCAGGGAGAGTGGGAGAGGGAGAAGCAGGCTTCCTGCAGAGCAGGGAGCCCAGTGCGGGGCTCGATCCCAGAACCCTGGGATCATGACCTGAGCCGAAGGCAGACACTTAACGACTGAGCCACCCAGGCGCCCCAATATTCCCACCACTCTTACAATTTTTGCCATATTTGTGTACCACCCAGACAGTTATTTGTTTACTGGATTTCCTTAAATTGACTTACTTTCTTTTACTTAAATTTGTTTGAAAAAGAAACCGTATGCGATAGTAGAAAAAAGTATCACTTGTCAGATAGGGAGAACTCTAAAAAAGTAACTGCAGTGAAAGAAAACAAAGCTGTTATTTGGACTAGGCCCTGTTGCCTACAGAAAGCTCTATCCTTGGGCCCTGCTCTGTTAAAAAGGGAGATTAACAAGTATTGGGAGGTGGTAAGGGCATACATACCAGCACTTAGCTGCAAAATTCTTTCACTAGAAATAATGAGAATTCAGCAGGGAAAATCTTTGGGGATTATTTAATGTTCATTGTTGTTAAAGCGGAGACCACCTAAGTTTATCTCTGATAACTCCAGATGGTGTATATATCATAGACTTTGGGAAACACAGCACTAGTGAAATGGGAAAGGGAGAGGCAGCTTTGAATGTAGATATGGACTCAAAGGAGCGGATAAAAGGCTTGGGTTTGCCAGAATTACCTCTCTGGAATGGGCAAAAATGAGATCATGATAATGCCCTGTTGAGTTGAAGAGGCTCTAATGTAGTAGACATTCAGTTGGCAATCATATGCCCCATGATTCATGCAGTGATTGCTCCCCATGTGAAACCCCACTACCTGCGGCGAGTCTGGGGGAAATTGAGCTCAGAAGACCAGGCTATAGGTTTCTGTTGGCCTGTAATGTCAGATTTAGGGAGCCCTGTTTATCTTTTACTAGGCTGATGAGATCGAGAAGATTTTATGCCACAAGTTCATGCGCTTCATGATGATGCGAGCAGAGAACTTTTTTATTCTTCGAAGGAAACCAGTGGAGGTGAGACCATGTGATCCACATGTTCATAATACCCAAGATTCTCCCACCGAGTCTACTGTCATTGGCCTGGGATTGTTTGTAGAACCAGGATTGCTGCTTCTCCAGCTGTTGGACACCCACTGCCTGAATTGAGAGTTGGCCTTCATTTCAGCTGGAGTGAGAATAAGGGGTATCAGAATTAGGAAAAATTGGGTCTGCCTCAACCAGGGTAAAGGGAAAAAAAATGTGTTGTTTATCTTCCCAGAGCCTACAGTTTAACAGCAGAAAGGGCACAATGAATCAGAAATCCTTTGTAAGCGTTGTCACCAACTAAATCATTCTCTCAAGGCCACAGTTGACATTGGCTCAGTTGTTGTCTGACTTTGTACTTGAGTCCTCTCCAAAGACTCCCTTCCGAATCAACTTAAAATATTCCCAGTGACTGAGCAACTGCTCTGCAGAGCAGCATGCACCATCAGATGTGTTGGCCAAGTTCATCCTCATCCTGAGCTAAAATCATTCTTCCCGGTCCTAGATCTAGCCTCTGGGCCCACCCAGAACAAATGATTACTCTTCCACACACAACCCAATCCCATCCTTCTCCCACAGCATCTCTTCTTCCTGATTCATTAGATTCTACTGTAACAAGGTTTCAAGTTCTTCACTCTCCCATGACTGAATGCAACTGTTTTATCACCAGTAGTTTTCCAGAGGTGCCTGACCGACACAAAATTCTCACCTGGGTTAGTTACTTGGACCCAGCATAGACACCCCAGCAGAGCAGGCAGGCTGCTGCCTGAAGGTCATGAGACTTGGGAGAAGATCACGGCCAGTAGGAAGCATGTAGCTCAGTGACCCTAGAGGACATAGCCAACTAAGTGCCCTGGGATGCTAATTTTCTCCTGTTTCTTCTCTTTCTCCTCTCTACTGTCTTCCTTACCCAGGGATATGACATCAGTTTTCTGATCACCAACTTCCACACAGAGCAGATGTACAAACACAAGTTGGTGGACTTTGTGATCCACTTCATGGAGGAGATTGACAAGGAGATCAGTGAGATGAAGTTGTCAGTCAACGCTCGTGCGCGCATCGTAGCCGAGGAGTTCCTCAAGAATGTAAGTAGGGGGCCTTCTTGGTGTCCTTCGAGAGGAGAGGTAGGAGGAGCCATGGGTTGAGAACTTAGCACCTGGTGGTAAAGTGGTGCCAGCAGTGTGAATATTTGCTGAGGCCTATAGGACCTTCTGGTGGGTGGCACGTCAGCCAGGTGCCTTGGGGCTGGAGGACCTGGAGGTCATCTTTGGGACCTGCGGGGCATTTTCTGTATTTGAGTGCCTCGAAGACACCTCCCTTAGTCTCTCATGGGGACTTAGACGCTCCTTTCTACATCTCAAAATGTACACAGTCCTTCCCTGTATTTAGCTCAAACCCCAGGTGAGGCAAGTTAAATCTACATGGGAATTTTCCAAGAATATAGGACAGTTAATCAGTGTAATTCTACTTCTCAAACAGATTTGAATGTTTTTGTTTTTTTAAAGATTTTATTTATTTATTTGACAGAGATAGCGAGAGCAGGAACACAAGCAAGGGGAGTGGGAGAGGGAGAAGCAGGCTTCCTGGTGAGCAGGGAGCCCGATGTGGGACTTGATCCCAGGACCCTGGGATCATGACCTGAGCCGAAGGCAGACACTTAACAACTGACCCATCCAGGCACCCCAGATGTGAATGTTTTCAACATCTATTTCTCAGGCTTAAAGTCATATTTTACTTCCATTACTTTCATGGCTTCAGTCCTCCAGATCCCTCTTTGGTTGTTTGTGTTCCCAACTGCAGTCCTCTGAAGAGGAGGAATTGTTTACACTGATGAGCTGATGACACAGTTGTTCTTATTTAGATATTAGGACATGCCTTCTTTTTCTTCTTCTTCCAAACAGTCTTTGGTTTGTTGACATGTTCTGCTTAGAGTTAACCATAATCCCTAGATGGTAGATTTAGTGTTTACTCCTACCAGTGCATACAGATCCAGCCCAGAAGGAGCTCAGATTCCTAAAAGTGGAAATTACGCCTTCTTCCCCTGGGCTTTAATTATACTGAGGGCAGTCAGTGTACAAAGTAGTTTTACTGTGCATGCAGGGTAGCGTGCTTGTTCAGATCACACAGGCTGTGGGGTCATACCACCTGTGTGTGCGTCCAGCTTCACTGCCTACTTGGGCATGTTACTGAATCTCTCGAAGCCTTAGTTTCCTCAGCTGTGAAATGAGACTATTAATAGTATATTTTAGTATGGTTGAGTATTAAATGAGGAGATGTACACAGAGCAGATCACCTGGTACATAGTAAGCTTTCTAGGTATTGTAGCGCCAGAGTTTTATGGCCAGGGCACTAGGAGGCCTCTATATTCAACTGCAAAGGAAAATAGTTCTTGTCCTGATTTAATATTTGGCTCATTCACCAGTCATTTAATTATGGTTACTGCATTTCTTTCCTTTTTAAATTTAAATTCAATTAGCCAACATATAGTGCTCTCTTAGTTTCAGATGGTAACTGCATTTGTATAATTACACAGCTAAGCACATTTATATATCTCATTTAATCCCTGAAACAATCTTTGAGTCATGTGTTATCCCTATTTTATGGGTGAGTGAACTGGGTTCTGGAAGTCAAGTCACCTACTCAGGCCCTCAGCCAGTAAGAGGAGGAACTGGGACTTAGAACTTCAGATCGAAGATCAAGATAGTACCATAGCATTTGGCAGGGGTCGCATACTCAGGTGCACGCAGGGCTCAGGGAGATAATGCATGTGAGTGAAGTGGGCTATTGGGGACCCGGTAAGCACATGCGTCATCTGAAGAGGATCACTACCACAGAGCTCCCGCCCGTTAACAATTTCATCTTCCAGCTTTTCAAAAAGAATCCCCAAATCTGGATTTGTATGTGACATCTGTTACATTTTCAAGGTTGGCAGTGAATTTGTATTTTTTTAAATACTTTGTGGACCAGCCAGCACTCATTATTAGGTTGGGTTCAGTTTGTGGGCCATTGGTCCACAATCTCTGATCTGTAAACTGTCTGGTGCTATTCTGGGCACCATGGGGGATACTTGAGGGCAGAAAATATTTCCAGGGCCTGTTATGGTTGGAGAACCACCCAGAGCTTGACACAAACTACCAGATCCTCGGTCCTTCTGCTCTTGGCGCCCTAGTCTCCAAGCCCTTGCTCATGAGGCCCCATCTCTAAAGAAGGCAACCTCAGTTCAAGCAAGGCACTGTGATAGAGCTTTATAGCAGCCTCCATGACATGGTTAAGGGGAGCTGTGGAAAAGCCCACTTCACCCTTAATTTTTCTGTCTTGTCTAGTGCTAGGTTTAAGGCTAGTGCTCTGAAGGTCACTGCTCAGTGCCGGCTGAATTAGAAAAAGGGTGCCCACAAGGTGTGCTGGGACCCATCCTATCCCTCAGAAATCTGAGAACAGTGGCAGCTCTCAGATCAGCCTACCTCCCCAGAGCAGGCCTGCCAGGATACAGTAATAATTACCATTCACCGCCTCTTGGTTCTTTTGACAGTTTTAAACCGTCTGGCTGGATCTCAAGGTCTTCCCCCTCAGACTCCCCCGTGTCTCTGCGAAGGCATCCTGGAGTTACTCCCCAGAGCGGCAGCGGCGACAGCAGCGGCGGCGGCAGCAGAGGGGGGGGGTGCTGGGTCGGGGTGGGCGTTCGATGCGGGAGGTGGGTGGTATGCTTGCTAGCTGGGCAACAAAGCAGCGGTGGACCTGCCCCAAGGCCACACGTGCCTGGTCAGGCTGGCTTCTGATGTTCAGTCCCCTGGGCTGGGACGGATTTTTTTTAACGTCTTGAAACTTAAATTCTGTGCTTGTAGGAGACTGTAACCTTTTTGTCTTTTTTTTTTTTTTTTTTTTTTTTTTTAACAAAACAACCTCCACCTCCAGTGGCTGTGACTGGTCCCAGTGATTGTACCATATTGGTCGCTGTGGGTCTGGGCGGGCCTGGAGCCAGAAGGCGACTATTGTGTGTCTTCCCCCCCCCCCCAATCCCCGAGCCCCAGGTGGGGAGAGAGGGAGGGAAGGAGGAAGGTTTCAGACTCCATTTCCTTTCCCTTGCCCTCTTACTCCTGAGCTTCCTTAGGCCCAGTGGAAGTCGTTGGGACTCTCTGCTGGCTTCCTGAGCTCTGCCTGAAGATAGCCACCCAGTGCTGGTTGGGGACAAGGGCTGAACTGGTGGCCACCAGCCATGCCTCAGAGCTGGGCGCTGAAAGCCAGGCACCTCTGGCCACAGGGGCCACTTTGTGCCCTCCCAGCTGAGAGGGGCCGCTGTTTTGCCTTGTCTGTCAGTGCAGTGCCTGTGCTGGAGGTGGAGGGGTGAGTCCTCCAGAGCTTCCTGAGCTGGGGCTCTTGCGCCTGCTCTGGCTCCTCTGCTCCCATGCTCGCTGTACCTTTTCTTATTCTGGTGGATCCCGCCTCCTCCCGATTAAAGTCTCTTCTTGCCCCTTTGGGGCTGCATGAGGTCTGTGCACTGTGTATATGAAAGGAGCGGGGCGGTGGGGCTTTTTCTTCCCAAGACCGTGTAGCTGGTACTTGGGCCTGGGGTTCCCCATCAGAGGTAGTCTCCTGATTGGTTTCTGATGTTACCTGTACCAAGGGCCCCAACCCAGAGACCCCCATTACTGTCCAAGCACCATTCATTTCTGAAACTGCTCTCTGCCTATACAGAGCTTTGGTCCTTTTCACATAATGAGCTCATTTGGGCTAAAAGGTAACCTCAGAGAAATAATGATGCCATATAGCTAAAGAAACTGCGGTTCCTTGAGATGTAGCAGCTTGCCCCAAAACTCCCAGCTAGTGAGCAAGAGGGTAGACTTCAAGTCTAAGGCTTCTGCCTCTGTCATCCCTAGCCACATGAAGCTACTTAAATTATTAAAGCTTAAAATTCATTTCCTCATTCCCACCAGAGACATTTCAGGTGCTCAATAACTACAAATGACAAGTTCCTACCATGTCAGAGAGTACAT